GGTGATAACGTTGAACAGTTTTTTCATCTCTTTATGCCTCAGATGGACCATTTGTTAAAGGCACACAATACTTACAAGATAATCATAAGAATTAAATGAGACAAATGTAAAGCATTCAGCAAAATGTCTGACATACAGGCTCAAAACGAACTTACTGATGAAAGCTTGAACTAAATATAGAATTGTGAGTACTTACTTGCAGTCACACTGTCAACACTATTTTCATCCCCATTAGCTGTGTGTGAATGGGAGAGATGCCCATTTTGCCACCTTCTTTGCAATGTTGAGAATCATCTTTTCAATAAATTTTTACTATCTGACTACTACACAATGGACTGACTCTCACTACCACATTACCATACATAGTCTGAATCTGAAAAATAAAGATTTTTGTCAAGTTGGTTACCACTTGTGCTTTATCTTTTGAGAACTTCACTTGTTTTTCAACTTGTGTTTTGTTCTGTTTTTAGTTGGTTTTAAGAACGTCTTTATTGTTTTATTTCAAATATTTTCCTCATGGTGTTTATTGACATAGAAATTTGACTTTTTTAACTTTTATGTAGTACTTTTAAGCCTAGTTCTATCCTCACATCAGTTTAAATTAATAAATTTTCTGAATTCTCTTGTATCATTGTCTCTTTTGCCTTTTATCTTTACATTTCCTGTTTTGCTCATCAGAAATTAATTGCAGTGCAAGATGTTAACTTCTTTTTCTTATTATGAATACCCAATTTTCCCTCCATTTCACCTCACCCTTTCTGTACTGGTTTATGACATTTTCTATAGTCTTAAATTCTTTGATATACTGGAGTTATGTTACAGGACCACTGATTCTGTCCCACAGATCTGTCATTTCTTTATAAAATAATCTTCCCATCCAGAAATACAGCGTTTCCATTAATTTGTGCTAGGAATTTAAGAGTCTATAAAGTTACAGTTTTCATATATCCAACACTTACAGAGCATCTTACACATTTCTTGAAAAAGCCATTTTAAAATATATTTATAGCTATTGAAAATAGCATCTACTTCAAACACACACCTCCAAATCTTTCCTAAGTATCCACTACCAGTTTACAGAGAACACTTTTCATTTAATTATAAATCACCTCATGTAAATTCTTACTAATTCTAACAAGTCTTTTACTTGATATTCTTAAACTTTACAGGTAGTCAATGATAGTAATTACAAATAAGGAGAATTTGTTTCCTCCTTTCCATTGTTTCACTTATTTTTTCTTATTAAACTGAATAAAACTTTTAGAACAGGGGTTGCAAATATGTCTCATATAGACCCACCCAATCCTAACCCATTGGTAGTCATAGTAAAACATGTTGTAAGGCCACCTTTTCTGCTTCACCATAATGCAGAGAAAAATCTTAGGAATTAGAACAGCTAAGGGCCACCAAGACAAAGTTTCTGAAACTGTCTGTTTTACAGTCATTCACTCCTTTTTCTCTAGTATTTGTCTCCTACTGCTTTATTGGGTTTCCTTTTTCTACCTTTTGGGTTAAATACTTAGTTCTTTTCTCTTTGAAGATAAAGCATTTTATGCTATGAATTTACCTCTGATTATCATTTTGGCCACCATCTCTAAATTTTTCCCTGCATTGCTCATTGACATCTTTTTTTTCTAGTAAGTCTTTTTTAATGGTAGTTCCAACCTTTTTAACTCAACAGTTATTTGGAAGAATGTTTTTATGTTTCACACATTCAAGGTTTTCATTTACATTTTTATTATTAAATCACTAAGATTACTGTGGTATGGCCTGCTATAGTGTTACATGTAATTTTAACTTAGGAAATTTACTCTGTGGTTTTTTGTGGACTGTATACTAAATTTCTGTTACTCTTCTCTGAGTAAGGGATCACTTCATTAGTAAATATTTTCCTGTCAACAACATGGATAATGAACCATTTATATAGTAAAATCACAGTCTGCTAATGCTCCTTACTTCCCAGCACTTACATGAGACTCCCTATTTCTTCATGCTGGACTACCCAGCTACCAGTTGCTCATACAATCCTCCACAGCCACTTGCCCTTATGCTCCTCTGTGATCCACTGGCAAACGGGAATTTTTCCCCCACAGCATTGATGTCGATTGCCAGTCCCTTGCCTCCAAGTCTAACAAGCACATCCGTATGCTAAATTCCTGTGCCTCCCAGTGTACATCTTCCTGCTGATGCTTACTTCTCAGTAAACTGATTAATCACAACATATTTATGAGGACAGAGGACAGAATCTTGGACCTCTAGGATATTTCAACTGCTTCCAATCCAAATTGATCAGATAATGAGTATTCTAGTTCTTCCAGTCAATAACTAAAAACATTATTCTATTGAGTAATGTTTCTTTGTTTGGACTAAAAAATCTCAAATCTGGTTTTTAAGTACAATTATTAAACAGAGTAAATTTAATGCATGTATTTTTCCAATCCATTCCTATTACAGCTTAATTTCCAATTTCATGCCTTTCATTTCATCCGTATGTATCAGGAAACCAATCATGAGAAAAACAAGCTACATCTCACAATTAGAACTTACTGAGGTTTGAAAGAATTTACCAGGAAAAAGTCGCCTCTGAACTTTTACCACTTGCTTTCACTTTTTATTCAGCCAAAAATAAAGTAACATTGGTTATTTTTTTAAATCAACAAAAGTCAGTACTGTGGTGAAATTCTAAACACCAGCAATAATATATCAGAATTGCCAAATTGGCACATTTATACTCATCAGTTCCTACAGAAATACCAAATTGTCGATGGTCCAATATTATGAGAAAGTTAGTAATATCTCTCTAACCCTGATAGATGTTGAGTAAAGTTGGGACTTTGAAATCAAGATGATACAATTCTTTTTCTACCTCCACAGGGACCAGGGATAAGGATCAATGCTGAACTTCTTGATCACTCAATAACATATAAACTTTTTGGTCCATAACTAAACATCCCAAAACTTTCATAAATCCAAGCCCAGAATGTCTAAGACAGTTGAAGAAAACAAGTCACTTTACAGTACATGAAAAATTAAAAACTAAACTGCCATACATTTTTAAGGGACTCATGTTTTAAAGAATTAAAATTATGTACTATAAAAAGATGCTTATTTTCTTGGATGTAGGCATTGAGGGAAACTGGGTGAATAGTACATGGATTTCTCTGTACTATCTTTGCAACTTCCTATAAGTCTGTAGACATTTCAAAATAAAGAGCTTGAAAAAAAAAGAAAAAAAAAAACTACTGACACAAACAATAACATGAATAAACCTAAACGACCTCATGGTAAATGGAAGAAGCCAGAGAAAAGAGACATGTATTATACAGTCCCATTTATAAGAAATTTCTAGACAACAATATAATATAGCATAAGAAAGCAAGAGTAGTTAGCTGCCTGAGGCTGAGGTTGAGGCATAGGAGTGGAGATTGACCAAAAAGGCCACAAAGGAACTTTTTCAAATAAGTCTTCTAAAACTGGGCTGTGGTGATAATTACACGGCCAGATGTACTAAAACTATGCATTTAAAATTGATGAATACTATGATCATGAAAATTAAACCCCAATAAAGCTGTAGAAAAAAGGTCAATGGTAGTCAGAATCTTGGTGATGGGTTTATGGGTATTAATGTCAAATTCTTTTAAGACTGCTGCATGCTTAAAAATTATAATAAAATGTTGAAGAATATTAGTTTTCATCAATAATAGAATTAGAAATTTAAAAAATTTTATTTCCATTGGAAGTTCACAGTTCAAGGAAGATATAATAAAAACATAAGTCAATAGCATCCATTCAGTGGTATGATCCTATCCATGTCCCACATTTATCACATTGAAGCCCTTGTTTCACAATGTGTTGTAAATAAATGGGCCCTGGGATTCCAATCCTCGATCAAAGCTGTCTGTATGGACACTGTTCCAAAATCCACAAGCTGTTGCTGGGGGCAGTTGGTTATTTATTCAGGCACAGAATGAAAATCCAAGCACAAACATCTTACATGTTTTAATTATCACATGGAGAAAATTCAGGTTTCAGCTTTTTGTAAATTATAGTGTTAGCAATATCAAAATAACCAAGAAACAAAAACCTCACTCAGTTTTTAATTTAAGAATCACAAAATTTCCACCAAAAAAGTTCCCCATGAGGTTCTCTAAAAGAAAAAACTTCTAAGTGTAGTTATGTGCATGTTAGTATAATCTTCCACACACCTTTAATTAGAATTAAATCCACCAGTATCTCAGCTTATGTGAAAATCAGCAAGAAATATCAGACTTAAGCAGAAAAACTGATAAAAATCTGTAATTTTAATATCATAAAGGGATTATCATTTGTGGTGAGAGAACATCTTTTGCATTTATACAAATTTCTAAGATTCTTATTTTTATTACTAGTACTAAATTTATGCATATCCCAATTCAAGAGCAAAAGCCTTAAAAAAAAAGGTGCTTTTAAATCTCCACATAGTATCTAAAGATATTGTCACATAACACTCTGTAATTTTTTTAAATCCCCAAATTTTATACCAAAGGTGTACTCCTCCTCACAAACTTTCAAAGGTAACATCCATATTTTTGGTGCATTTATTAGAAACTATGAATATAAATAAAAATGTCAAAAATTATTAGAATTAAACTGGTTATTTTTAATTTGTTATTTTTCTAATTCTCTATATTAAAGAAGGGGATGTTATACTTAACCATGTATTTCACTTCGCCTGGCAAGAAGAATATAAACTGCTGGGGATAGCCAACAGAGACCTTTTCAAAATGGACCTATGTTACATACATATGTCCCTTTTTTAAACTCTTTATTTAAAATGAGGGTGAAGGAGAGGATGACAAGTGCTTTATCTATTACTGACCCTTAAGTCTGAAAATAATTACAATGATTAGCAAACTGTGTATGGTCTGTAAGCGCTAACAAATGAAATTTAAGATATGGGTTAGTCTGTTTTACCAATACTCTGATTAAACAACCACACGAGAACTAAGTCAAGAATTTACCTTTGTGCTGGCCACACCAATCTCCGGCCCAGCATTAATGTGAACGCCACAGTCTGTCTCCCTTGAGATGGAACTGCCAACTGTGTTTGTGATCCCCACAGTTAAAGCTCCCCTCTCCTTACAGTATCGAAGACCCATCAGGGTATCTGCTGTCTCACCTGTATAAAAAGAAGACAAAGTAACACAAAGAACGGTCAACATATGTAGTTTCTTAGACGCAAAAAAACAAAAAAATTGACTAAACTTTGAACAATATCATGTTTTAAATAAAATTTAAACTTAATACAACTGCAAAACTTTTAATAATAAGGCCTTCCTTTACCATTGAAAACTCAGCTCTTTGAGTGTAAAATGTGTTAATTTTACTAATCCTTAAGAATTTGTAATGTCAAAATACAGCTGTTTGTCAGGTCATCTGCAATACTAGTTTATCTTCAAATACCAGTTTCTGCAAGATATGCTTTAATTATTAGAAAGAATGACTTTTCTTTCCTTCATTTCTTTAAAATTGGCATACCTGACTGACTAATGAAAAAGCAAACATCATCTCGAAAAACTGGCGTGTTTCTATCCAGGAAATCACTGGCTAGCTCCACCATAACAGGCAACTCTGTCAGCTCTTCAAGAACTTGACGTGTCTGCAGAAAAAAAATGACTTGGTCACACAACTTCACTTCTAATACTCTTTTCCACTGGACTTCTTTGGATTAATGTATGGTTTTCACTTTTTCTGATTGCAAAAAGGATACCTGCGCACTGTCAGAAAATCTAAACAATACAAATTAAAGCATTAAAAAATCTAAAAAAATCAAAATACCACCACCTAGGAGATAAGCGTTACTAACATTTTAGTACAAGTTTTAGACAATTATCAATGCATATATTATAATAACCAAATATACTCAAATACATAAAATGTTTTGAGAAGCACTGTTATAAAAGCAATGTTCTGAGTTAGCTTGTGTGTTATCTCTAACTTCTCAATTATTAATTTTTAAATGACAATTCATATAATCCCTGGTCACTGAAAGACTTCAAATGAGGTAATAACAGATGAATAAACACACCGTCAAAAATCAAACACTTCAAAAAAACTTAAATAATACTGTTTCCCCCAAAAAACAATATAATTCTAAAATCTTGTTTAAGAAAACTCACTATTTCAAACTTTGTGGTAGGGGGTAGTACAGTTCTGTTCAAAAGTACTTCAACATTTATTTTACTAATTTCCATTCTAATTAAATTCCTTTTGCTCTATAAACATTAGAAAATTAAAATCGAGAAAAACTTTTAAGCAGCAAAAATTTTAGGCTCTATAGATGCATACATTTAGTTGTTTTACTAACTATGGAGACCACCTGCTTCTGTAGACAAATGGCCTTGCCCATCTTTTGCCCCATCTCTCATTTTTCCTTCACCTCAGTAAAGAACTGTAAAGGTTTCCTTACTAGACACCCCTTTAGCTTTCTTGCCCACAAATGTAAACGGAATACTTTCATTCTATATTGTTGGTTTGGTTCTTTTATCAATGTTATATAACAGCATGTATATAAAGTATTCACGTTAGAATGTTTCTATTTTTAACTAACCTTTTCCACTGATGTGTTTTGTTTACTAATTATACATAAACAAGTTACACTAAAGTGCTGAATGTTTTCCTTCAAATAAATGTAAATCAAACTCACCCCACCCCCAGTTTACAATATAAATGTTACATTGGAATTACATCTTTCAAAATAAAAAGAGAAAAATATAAACCAAACCTGGCAATTTACCAGATATTTAAAGGTAAAAACCCCAAAAATGTAATCTTAAGATATATCTGTGCTAATGAATGCCTTGTTCTTTCAGTGAAAGCAACTCTTTAATACATAGGCAGAATGACATATTTTCATCATAAGAGACTATTTTTTTTAATTGAAGTATAGTTGATATACAATATTATATTGGTTTCAAGTATACAACATGGTTATTCAATAGTTACATACATTATTAAATCCTCACCCCCAACAAGTGTAGTTACTGTCAACATAGAAAGATGTTACAGAACCACTGGCTATGTTCTGTATGCTGCACTTTCATCCCCCTGACTAATTTATATTACAGTTGAGATTTTCTGACTCTTTAACCCCTTCACCTATTTCACCTTCTCATTCCAACCCCTCCTGCATGGTAACCACCAGTCACTTCTCAGTGTCTATGAGTCTACTGCTGTTTTGTTCATTTTGTTTTGTTTTGTTTTTAGATTTACACACTTAAGTGAAATCATGTTATTTGTGTTTCTCTGCCTGGCTTATTTCACTTAGCTTATTACCTTTTAGGTCCATCCATGTTGTCACAAATGGCAGGATTTCTTTCTTTTTCATGGCTGAATAATATTCCACTGTATATAGTTCCACTTCTTCTTTATACATTCATCTACTGATGGACACTTTGGTTGCTTCCACAATTTGGCTATTGTAAATAATGTGGCAATAAACATAGGGGTATATACACCTTTTCAACTTGGAGATTTTGTTTTCTTTGGGTAAATTTCTAGAAGTAGTTATGGGTGGTATAGTATTTCTGTTTTTAGTTTTTTTGAGAACCTCCATACTGCTTTCCACAGTGGCTGCACCAATTTACATTCTCACTAACAGGTAGGAGGGTTCCCTTTTCCACATCCTTTCCAATACTTGTTATTTCTTGTATTTTGGACAGTGGCCTTTGTCACTGGTGTGAGGTGGTATCTCACTGTGGCTTTGATTTGCATTTCCCTGATAATTAGAAATTAGGAGCATCTTTTCATGTGCCTGTTGGCCATCTGTATTTTTTTTCTGGAAAACTGTCTATTTAGGTCCTCTGCCCATTTTTCAATTGGTTTTTGTTTTTTTTTGGTGTTGAGTAGCATGAGTTCTTTACACATTTTGGGTGTTAGCCTCTTATTGGATAAATCATTTATGAATATATTCTCCCACATTGTAGGTTGCCTTTTTTTGTTTTGTGTCCTTTGCTGTACAGAAGCTTTTTAGTTTGATATAGTCCCACTTGCTTATTTTAGCTTTTGATTCCCTTGTCTCTAGAGATGCACCCATAAAGAAATTTCTCATGTTGATGTTCATAAGATTCTTGCCAATGTTTTCCTCTAAAAGTGTTATGGTTTTAAGTCTTACATTTAGTTTTTTATTTAGAGTTTACTTTTGTGTATGATGTAAAAGAGTGATCTACTTTCATGCTTTTACATTTAGCTCTCCAGTTTTCCCCACACCATTTATTAAAGAGACTGTCTTTTCTCTGTTGTATATCCATGGCTCCACTGTCCTATATTAATTGACCATATATGGGGTATGGGTTTATTTCTGGGCATTCTATTCCACTGATCTATGAGTCTATTTTTGTACCAGTAACATACTGTTTGATTACTACAGCTTTGTAGTATCATTTGAATCAGGGAGCATAATACCCCCAGCTTTGTTCTTTCTCAGCATCACTTTGACTATCTGGGGTCTTCTGTAGTTCCATATAAATTTTAGGATAATTTGTTCTAGTTCATTGAAAAATGCCATTGGTGTTTTGACAGGGATTACTATAAAAGACTAATGTTATAAATTTCACTGTATGCCACTGTAAAACCCAAGATATTTAACATTTGAAAAGCAAGTTATACTTAGAATGATTTTAGTTGATTATTATTGTTCAGGATTCAGAGTACATACTACAAAAGCAGTTATGCAAATACATCATTCATGCTTGACCCCACCAAGAAAACAAAAACAAAAATCTAGACAGAATAGAATTAATGACACTATTTTGCATGATAAATCACAAGGGGATTTCCAATGTTTGTTAGCTATAGTAGTCTCGGCATACACCCAAAAAACAAAAAGACCTTACATTGTCTCAAATTTCAAAATTAGAAAATTCTAACACAGCATATAATTTCTGCCCCCAAATTCAGGTTTAGCATTAGATGAAACATTTAATCAAATTTTAAATTTCTAAACAGATCTAAGACACAACTGAGTTAGCTAATTCCTTAATTTTCACTAATGTCTTTGATCTATTCTTTTTTTCCATGCTCAAAACAATCACTTTCTTAGGACTCTTCTCTTCAATACTGCATACTTTCATTTTTAAGACCATGTTATTTGGGCAGGGTGAGGGATACCTGAGAGCACAGCAAGACCTACTGAGATGCAAGGGCTGAGTAACTCTAGTTTCACAAATGGAAGGACTGCCTGCCACAAGTGTAGATAACAAGTATGTACCAGGAAATAAAAAAAGCATTATGAACTTTGAGAAATCAATCATAAAGGTAGAAACTGAGTGTATAAGGCTCTTCTGTAATTATGAAATTGACATCAACAGTACATAAACTATCTCTTTATAAGGAAACTACACGTGGATCTGATTTACTGGACTGAAAGACTATATATGCCTATGCTTCTACACTGACAACCACCACACATCTTTGATACAGAATTTCAGCTTTCCCAAAATTAACTCAAAATGGATTAGAGACTTATAAATATAAGACCTGAAACCATGAAACTCCTAGAAGAAAGTATAGGAACAAAGCTCCTTGACATGGGTCTTGGTAATGATTTTTTGGACTTAATACTTAAAGCACAAGCAACAAAATAAAAAATAAAAAAGTGGGACTATATCAACTAAAAAGTTTTCAGCAAAAGAAATCATCAACAAAGTTATGGGAAAACTACAGAATAGAAAAAAAATATTTTCCAACCATATATGCAATAATGGGTTAATATCCAAAGTATATAAAGAACTCATACAACTCAGTAACAACAAAAAAAATCCAATTTTAAAATGACCAAAGACATTTCTGAATGGACATTTCTCCAAAGAAGATATATTAAAGGCCAAGAGCCACATGAAAAGATGCTCAGTATCACTAGTTATTAGGGAAGAGCAAATTAAAACCACAATGAACTGTATTACCTCATGCCTGTTAGAACATCTATCATCAAAAAGACAAAAAATAACAAATGCTGGTGTGCATGTAGAGAAAAGGGAACCCTTGAACAAAGCTGACTGGGTTGTAAATTGGTACAGCTGCTATGGACAATAGTATGGAAGTTCCTCAAAAAACTAAAAATAGAACTACATATGATCCAGCTATTCTACTTCTGGGAATATATCCAAAGGTAATGACAACACTTACTCAAAAATATATCTGCACTCCCATGCTCATAACAGCATTGTTTATAATAGCCAAAATCTGAAAACAACCAAAGTATCCATCAAAGGATAAATGGATATCGTTGTGGTTTACATACAGATACACACCCAGAAATGGAATATCATTCAGTCATTAAACAACAAAAACAAGGAAATTCCACCATTTATGACAACATGGATGGACCTTGAAGGTTACTGGGTGAAAAAAAAGAAAGACAAATACTGTATGATCTCACTTAAGTGTGTAACCTTAAAAAAAAATTCATAGAAAAAAAGAGATGGACTTGCAGTTACCAGAGGAGGGGGAATTACAGAAAGGTGGTCAAAAGGTACAAACTTCCCATTATAAGATAAGTAAGTATAAGGATATAATGCTACATGATGACTGTTGCTAGCACTGCAGTACGATACATAGGAAAGTTAAGGGAGTAAATCCTAAGAGAAAAGTTTACTCTTTTCTTTTTTCTTTTCTCTTTATTGAATCTACATCAGAAGATGGATGTTAGCTGAATCTATTGTGATAATCATTTCACAATATATATAAATCATATTAACACACTGTATGCCTTAAACTTATACAGTGATTTATGTCTATTATTTTAAATAAAACTAGAAGGCAAAAAGAATTTCAGCTCTCCAAATAACAATTTAAAGAGCTAAGTCTGACAAAAAGCATACTTCCTTTCTTTGTAGAAATGTACCTACGATGTAAAAATCCTGTTGAGGTTCAAGAGTTACCAGCCATCCGTTTAGGGCAAGAGAATAATGATAAGCAAAGCCCAATGACTGCTCTTTCAGAAGTAGGCATGCATCCCAGTAGACTATAAGGCTAGTTTGATATAGTCCCACTTGCTTATTTTAGCTTTTGATTCCCTTGTCTCTAGAGATGCACCCATAAAGAAATTTGTACCATCCTAGCCATAAAGGCTAGGATGGTACAAAAACTTCCCCATTCATTGCCCTTCATGCAGTTGCAAGTGGTCTACCTGTGTATCTAAGGACCTCTCCTGAAGCAAATCTTGCATTGATAAAGTCCAAGCTGCTGTTAAAATTTCTGCCCCCAATCTTTTTTATTTTTTGTCATTGCAACATGAGAAGATACCATGGTATTATATGAAAGGATTTTACATTGTGTGTGACTGGAGGTACTATTTGTCTATGGACATTTTCTAATATCCAACATAACACAATTAAAGTTTTAGAAGTCACTTACTGCTACACCGGCGTGATAACTTGTCCCACAAGCAATAAGAATCAAACGCCGACACCTCTGAATCTCCTTAATGTGATCCTTCAAACCGCCCAAATTCACTGAAACAAAAGTTTGTGTATATAGTTACTTAGGAAAGAACCATATGAAATAGGCAATCACTTTTCATGAGTGTCCACTGCGAAGATGGGAAACAACAATGCCATTTTAAAGAATTTATATACCTTAGGCAGCATCATTCTCTATAGTTTTGAAAAGTAAATTTAGTATGTCACAACTTCACTGGCATCACCAAACTTGTAACTAAGACTACTCAGTACGCACAAACACACACAACTACATTATCATACTCTACCTTGTTTGGTCATTTTTTTCATCCCTCTCTTTAGCTTAAAAGTTATCTTAGAAGCAGAACTACAGGGGCACAGATGATAGATCAACAGATACTGATGCATGGAGGTGGAGTAGGGGCTGACTACAAGGAGGCACAAGAGACTTTTTGGGTGATTTAACTGTGCTACATCTTGATTGTTATGGTCAGGACTATGAGCATGCTGTGGTTTGTCAAAGCTCACAGAATTATATATTAAAAACAGTGGATTTTATTATACTTAATTATATATCAATAAGCTACTTGGAATAAAATTGTCTTTGTTATGTCCATTCTCCTATGGTTCCCAGAACAGTGCTCTAAGCACAATACAAACCCACTCTCCTCTCATTCTTTCCCATCTCAGTAAACACCACCCCACTCACCTGATGTCAGTCACCCTTGATTGCTCCTATCCCTCCTCCAAGTCCAATCCACGAGCAAGTCCTATCAGCTCCACCTTCAAAATATACTTCCAAGGCCATCACTCCTGTCCAAAATCTCTGCCCTGCATGAGAGCAACATTCTCCTTTTCTCTCTTCTACTCCCCACCTCTGAGAGCCTGTCTTCCACACACAAACAGAATGATCTTTAAGAGTGATTCTTTTAAAAACATTAATCTGATCTCAAAACCTTCCAATGACTCTGTTCTCTTTGTCTCTATAGCTATTTACATTTCTTCTAAGGGCATCTTTGTCTATGGCTCCTTCTACACTAGGCTAGTTTTCCACCTGAGAAATTTTCACTCAATACTCACTCAGTTATTTAATATTTCTTGGGTACCCACCTAGTGAACATACCACCCAAAGCACCATGTGGCCACAGAGCTCCGGTCAGGCAGTGCAGTGTCTGGCTGAGGAGATGCACAGCCATAGCAGCGTCCTCCTGCTCCTGAGCTGCCATCAGTCTGTCTGCTTTGCCCCCACCTTTTCTATACCCACTCCTTGTTCTAGCTTAACTGGCTTATCCTTATCATGGCTTTCAAGTGCCCACATACCCCATCTCCTGCTTACCCCTGACCTAATCTCCTAGCACTTCCAATCTCACCAGACTGGCCTTCCTGCACTAGACCAATCCTATTCATGTACCTCTGCCTACAGTGTTTTTCCAGACCTCAGCATGTACTGAAAAGGGTGGGGAAGAAAGGAAACAACATTAAGAGGTTGGGTCAGGGTCATGAGAAGACAAATCAGCTTGGAGATGACTCAGTATAAAAGCAGACAGACTATCAGAGAGACTTGTATTACAGATGATGAACAAGTATGACAGGGGTGAGACAGTGAGATTAGCTGGTCACAGGTGTTTCTCTAAAATTAGCTTAGCAAATTCCCTGCTGGCTGAGGGAGGTTTGGGGTAGTTCTGGAAGGAGTCACCCAATTGTGATGTTTTGAGAAGCCTGATTCTGGGAAGGCAGGCCCCCACTACTGGAAGCAGCACAAGGGCCTGGAGGACAGGATACTCTCAAACACCAGTGAACACAGGAGGTCAGTCTGGCCCCCTAAATGACCAGTGATGTGACCTTTGGCAAAACACGCTAACCAACAGAGCTTCAATTCCCTTAACAACAAAAAAAGATAACAGCTATCCTGTTTATATTATAAAACTTTTTTGAGGAACATAACATAGATAATAAAATGGTTTTTAAAATTATGGCCTCTCAAAGTAGGTCTCACTCTCTTACCTTATAACAAACCTTTTTCCTGATTTCATTTCCATAAATATTCCAATACCATAAAGTGGTATTTCCTGCTATGCTCCCAGTTCTTCCAGCTCAATCACCTTAATGACCCTGTCTCCCAACAGATGCAGGTCCTGGTTTAGACTGCTCATGTTTCTGTCCTGGTCCCCACTTGCCCCTCTTCTCCTTTGCTTTACCCCAGACAGGGCAACATCCTAACTGGCAGCTGCATCTCAGCCTCTCGCTCCCCCAGTGCACACTGCAGACTAGACCTGGTTCACCTCACTAAGCTCTGATTACCCTGGCTCCCAGGTCTCCTAGTAACTCTGCTATTTCTACAAGAGAAGGTACCATGCACACCTGCTTGCCACATTATGATACATTCTGCCCTCCTTGGTAGTTCCTCTCACCTTCTTTCATAGACTGATTGCTCTTTGCTTCTTTTCAAGTACTAGATATGGGAGACAAACTAGACCTCATATTATTCCACCAATAACTTAATGATTGTTTTCCATTTTCTCTCCTTAGCTAATGCTATTCTATCTAACCACAATGCTCCCATCTCATCTTCAACGATTTAAATCTTACAAAGCCTTTAAACCCATACTGCCTAAGTAGGGTTTCCTGGTCCCAAAGCCCTTGCCCACAAAGAGATTCATTCTCTACTTTCTCTAAATTCAATATTAAGCTTTTAACATTTCAACATTAAATGCCATCTATCATATTTTACCCTTCTCTAAATAGTTAATTATATATCCATCCTACTTTTAGATTGTAAGAACCTCAAGTAGACCCTATCAGAGACAGTTTTCCTATAATCCCTTATATGTTCAGCATGGCGCTCTGCACACAGATGTTCAATTCATAATTCAGCCTTCAACAAACCTCTCTTGCTGAAAAAGAGTCTGATGTTGCCCAGAAAAGAAAAAGATGTGAAGACAGCATTTATTCAGTGAAATTAGTCTCTCAATTACCAGGACAGAGCATTAAGGAGTGACACTAACACTGTATATATGACACACAGATTCAGGAAAAAGATTACTGCACCCTAGCTATTATTTCTCAAAATCAAATTCCTAATGCTGAGACTCTTAGCCCAAAGTTTGTTTGTTACTGTTTATTAAAGTAGTCATGATAAATGAGTAGTGTTCTGAAAATAAGATTTTAACATAAATAGTTTATGGTCATCTTATGACACAGGAAGTCCATCTCAAGCTCATCTCAGCAAGGTGTACAAGCTCCTTCAACACAAGGTGTGGGGAGAATTTCCAGAAATCTGACCAGAGTTGCACTCTCACCTCTACCTTAAGCAAGCAGGATGGTCCAGGTTATCCCAGAAGGCATCAGGTAAACACCTGGAAAACCTCTGGGGAAATTCACACCTTTACTCTTTTATAAACTGGAGAGGAAACCTAGGCTGAGCAGATACATGTAAGCTTCCTAAGGAGGGGCCAGGTCTCATTCTCAGAATCCACAGTGTCCTGGACAGTCCTGGGTACACAGCAGGTGCCCATAAAGGCTTTTTGAACTGAAAAGTTGTTCAATGTTTTTAATGGTACACTGAAGAACTTTCATTTCCCCAGGAAAACCACTCTAATACTTCTGTAACTGACAATAATTTTCAAATATGAGTTTCTACCCATTTTTTTTATATACCCACCTTATTGAGGTATGTCACATACCATAAAATTAAAAATTTTAAAGTATGTAGTTGGCGGGTTTTAGTATATTAAGAGTTGTGCAACCATCCCCACTTCTAATTTTAGAATATTTTCATCAACCCCCCCAACCCCAAAACACTTACATCCATTACCAGTCCCTCTCCATTCCCCCTTCCACTCAGCTCCTGGCAACCATTAGTTATTATTTGTTCCCAATCTCTTTTTAATTGTAGTTAAAAATATACCTAACATAAATTCTAACATTTTAACTATTTTTAAGTGTACAATTCAGTGGCATCAAGCACATTCACACTGCTGTGCAACAATACTACCATCCATCCCCAGAACTGGCTCATTACTGAAACCCTGTACCCACTCAACAACAGCTCCCCGTTTCCCTCCCCTCCCCAGCCCCTGGGAACCACTACTCTACCTTCTGTCTCTACGAATCTACCTACATACACCTCATATCAGTGGAATAATATATACTAAAGGGCTTTTCAAAGTTGATCAGGATCCACTGATGGCTGGTGGTCACAGTTGTTCAGTAAGGCTGTAAAGGACAACAAACGTTCAGGCTGTAAATGCCCATCTCCACAGGTGACTTTGAAATAATAAAATAATTAACATGTAATTACCAGTATAGTCATCAAAGTTGACTCTTCCTCTCATTGTGTTCACAACTGATTCTGGCTGCTCAAAAATTTCCTTCTGCATAAACGAACTGAAGTTGCCTACAGTAATATACATTATATCATTAAAACAAAAATAATAAGCGAAAGAATATGACATCTGTACACAACTAGGTCTATCTCCCTTAACATATTCTTAGTAAATGTTATGAAACAGAAGGTCATGCAATTGAGAAAAATATTTCGTGTATGACATTTTACCTTACATGAAGAAAAATGAGCAGAGGAAAAAATCACTTTTATTAACCTCATACCTATAATATGGTCCCAACAAAACAAGGTAATAAGGCAAGCTTAAGTTTTGAAGACAGATCTAGGTTCAAATCATTGTTCTATCCTTTACTAGCTAAGTGGCTCTAAGGAAATTCCTTTATCTGTAAAATAAGAGTAGCAGCTACTTCCTAGCATTGCAGCGTGGATTAATCCAGTAAAGACTTTATATGTAGCAGTTATACAACAAAATTTAACTTTTATTCCCACCACAAGCCCATGAGAAAGGAGGAGAAAATCATAATCACAATAATCATAATAGTTAACAGCAGCAAACATTATTTAGGGCCCACTAAGTGTGTCAGGCACCATCCTAACAGTGTTACATATATTAGCTCTCTTAATCCTTAAAACAACCTTAATGATGTAGGCCATTATTACCCCCATTTTATATACAAGAAAATGAAGCACAGAGAGAATAAGAGATGAACGAACAAAACACAAACTATGTTTATAAAGTGCTTTAAAAATATCAAGTACTATTTAAATAATTCCTTTTTTAAAGTTAAAAACAACAAACCATGAATTAGTTTGATGGAGAACTATTACACTACCAGCAGATAACTTCTCCAAAGAAGCATCTCTTTTCCTGGGTTATCTCTTTACTAATCATGGAAAGTTTCACTCAGCATTATGCTATCAGACTCCTACACTAGGACAGGAAGTAGGATGTCTCTTATTAACACCAAGCTGTAACATGACAAAAACTTTCACCCTTCATGATCTGCTGGAGTTCCATCTGGAGGGTTTGCACAGCTCGTCCAGGATGATCTCCTGCAGTTCGTTTAATCCGATGGATAGAAAGACGGCCATCCACCACTGCTGCCACATCATCATCTTCAAGGAAGATGACACGATTGGTGTGTTCTATGACAGCACTACAAAATATTCAAGGTGACATACAATCAATAATCAAGGATTCATTACCAAAAAAACACTATCATACACAAGGACCAAATGGAAATATAAATGCTATGAACCTGCAATATCTCTAACTGGTTATAAAAGCCAGTCCCTACAGGGGAGAGAAACAGTGGGTGGTTACCATGGACAATGGAGAACAGGATCTCTGTGTAGTAGCCTAACCAGAGTTAAAGCATATCAGAAAGCACAGCTGTTTCCTCCTCACTCTATCATCCAGTCCTCCAATCTTAACTCCTAAATGTTTCTCTTAGTTTCTGTGTCCACCATCACAAACCAGTCCAAAACCATCAGCTCTCAGCTGGACGATTGCGGCAACCTAACTTGTCCAACCACATTCTCAGTAACCTCCCTCCATCCATTCTCCACTTCTGCCAACATGAAGTGAAAAGGCAACTCTCACCAAGATTTCTCCTTTACTCAACAAACCACTTGATGGCTTCCATCTGACTCTTAGCAAAACAGCACAATGCTTACCACCTACTCTAACATCTCCCCCCTCAAACTTCCTCTCTGTTCCAGTCATACTCGTACTCATCCTAAACTCTCACCGATCAATCTACAGAGAATGAATGTTCTTCCCTCTATCTCTTTATTTAATTAACTCCTCATACCTTCTTAACTTTCAGTTCAAGCACCATTCCCTTAAATAAATGTACCCACAGGAAGGTAAGTCACCCTGTTGTAGGCATATTATAGCACCTATCACAGCTGGAATTCTACAGTTGTGTACCTGATCAAAATTTGTCTCCATTAAGGAAGAGCTCCTTAAGGACAAGAAATTTTTATTTTTACTCACCATTACCTTCTGAGCCTAGCACATGGCCTTGCTCAGTGTTTTCAGTATGAATGTACAAATGAATGACAAAAGGCTAATACAGTTCTGCAACCTGAGCCACAACTGTCAATCCTGTAACAAACCTACTTAACATGACAGCAATGACACATCTTAGCACTGACTACACATCTGTAAAAACTAGAAAATAGGTTTTCCCACTGAGATACTGCATTCTCTGCAGTCCTAAACTGCATCATTTTCTCATTTTTTAGATCCCCCTTCTTTTATTCACAATGAATGACTCAAATACTTCTTGACAATTTGAGTGATTCCATTTTGTCCTCATTACTATTAGTATTTCACTTATAAATGTATCTAAGCATCCTATTATATATCTCAAAATGTCTTAGTCTAGTACTAAGTACTATTTTTTTCATAAAAATCCCTGGTTCCCAACAGGGGCAGTATAGCCCAACGGTTGGTGCTAAAGAAATCTAAGGGGACTTTTTTGGTCTAAGACATATTAAGGAGATGTTGGGGACCAGCTGCCACCCCCTTGGGCTATACTCGCATGAACGCAATGAAAGGTTTGATTAATACTCTACAGTGAATTTGATCAAAGCCAAGGCAAGTTTTTCTGCATTCTTGTCAAAACTTGAGTTGTACAAATAAAATTTGAGTCGAAGATAATTTTATCAGTTTCCAAATGTTTCTTCACTGGAAACAAATGATGACAACATTATGGTTTATGGCCAGCATTTGGAAGCACTTAAAGAAGATTTTACAGATTTCAGGATTTACTCAACATGATTATTCCAGACTGGGTCTTAGAATCTTCCTCAAGCCTACAAATAGCAGAAGTATCACTGCAGGAGGAGTTGATAGAATTGTCACCAAATGAAGAGTTAAAATTGAAATTAAAAAATGGGTATCAAAAATTTTGGCTTCAAAGGAAAATTCCAATATTATATCCAGCCTTATGAGCTGTAGCAAAGAAGCAAAGCTTTTCATGCATTTCCATCATCATATTTAGCCGAAAGAAAATTTAGCAAGGTCAGCAATCTATTAACAAAGAAAAGAAAAAATTGTCAATAGTGGCAATTTAAGATTGCTGATGACAAAAATGACACCAAACATCAAAAAATTAGTGTCATCTCACCAAGCTCAACCCTCACACTAATAAAGATTTCATTAATTTTTTAAAATAATATACACTTTTCTAATTTTTAAAATTTTAATTATACTTTGAGCAATACATTAATATTGTTAATTTCTTCTAATAAAATAATTTGAAAAAATATGTCCTTGTTTTATAGATAGCATAGTATAATTCACCTAAGGGGGCGTTATAGAATCACTCTTTGAAAAAGTGGGCGCTGAGCCAAAAAAGGTTGGGAACCTATGATATAAATGATTAAGCAGCAAATTACTTCTGAATTAAAAAGGTTAAGTGTCCACACTGGACTAAAACTACAATGGTTTTAGCAACTATTCTATAACTGGTGGGATACTAAGCCATTTTATGCTCCCATCTAAAATCTCTCCTCCCTTCAGTCCTGGGTAAGACTCTGAAAAGAACAGGAACATTAATACAAGATTACACTGGAACAAGTCTCGGGGACTATTATCTATTCTTGGTGAACTGATCTACATGATTTGAACTGAAAGAAAAAGTATTCTTAGAACTCCATCTCTAAAAAGGTCACTTTTATTTCCCTAATAAAGTTCTCCTACACAGCATGATTAGAAATATGTAAAATGACTCCCTGCATTCCTGTAGCATGAGAAGTTTTACTAAAAAGTCTCTCTAAAACAACTAAGGAAGCTCACCTTGCATCAGAAGCAAAGTAATACTCCACCGCTTTTTCTTCAACAGGGAAAAGGCATGTAGTGCTGTCCACACGAGAGAGGTTGCAGCTTCCTTTCTTGTCTTTCCCTAGGGCACGGAGTTAACACAAATCAGCAAACATGCAGGTACAAAACCATGGTCAATATAAAAAATTTAATTTTCTACAAAATCAACAAAATAATCAGCAACACAAAATAATTTCAGCAATTTTTAAATGCGAGGTAGATCACCTTATTTCCATGCAATAAGCCAACAAGAACAACAAACAAAAGGTGTAAAGTGACACAGCAACTATCACAGAGTGTGTGGAAGACAGTGCTACATTATAGTATTATCAGAATAAAAGGCAAATAATTAATAATATCACTCTTTTTTTTAATCAAAAGTATGTATACCCTAATTTTAATTTAACTTTGAACAAAACTTGGCAGAATTAACACATCTGTTTGTATACCTAACCTTATCATAAAAATTACACTAAAAATATCAAAATCGTGCAATGAAAAATAAAATGAAGAGTAGTGGCATATTAACTTTCATTAACTTATAACAAAACTTCTCTATATTTTAATAGTAAGTCGACATAACAAATCAAGGTGTAGTCTATACTAATTCTGATTTAAAAACAAACATATTTATGGCTCTCTAACATCGGTATCTCATATGTGGCACCTGCCGTCAAGGACTGGAAATACTATAAACCCAGAACTTCTTCTTTATTAAAATTGGGTTTTGTTGCATTTCTTTTAAGTCAGAATAAAGTATGGTGCTTTTAAAATGATAATATCCTTTTAATTTGAGCACTTTAGAATTCTGGCATCTCTACTTATTTTTCAAGTCACTGATGAAGAATTATTTTTCTGTTTTTGCTCATTTACAACTAAAGTCAAAACTGGAAAGTATACTGAAGTTTGACAAATGAGCCAAATACGGGGGGGAAAAATCTACTAATTGAAGGCTATATAAATGTCAGAGACAAAATGCACCTTTCTCCAAGATCAAGACACGGTAGACCTTATGACCCATGGACACAATGGCCTGAGAATACCATAAATATACTTCTAAAAACTTACACTTGTGTCTATCCTCTAAAACTCATGTCTATAAAGACTTGCTAATAATTATTCTTAGAAATGAATATCAAAAATTCTCCACAACCTGTAATTACTTGGTGTGTTTTAGACATGAAAACAGAACAGCTTTTACTACCCAAATTCAACAGTAGAAAAGGTACCACACTTTAAAAAATAAGATGACATCCTAGAAAAGGAACACTACAGAAAAGATAAAACAGATCAGTGTGTTCCCAGGGGCTGGGAATGGGCACACTCGTTGACTACAAAGGGGCAGCTGGAGGGAACTTTTTTGGGGATGGAATAGTTCTGTATCTTGATTGTGGTGGTGGTTATATAACTGTTTACATTTGACAGAACTCACAAAATTGTACAACAAAACATCAGTTTTACTCTATGTAAAAAAAGTTAATTAGAAATAGGTAAAAGGATAGCCTAGCACCTACATTTTAAAAATAAATACAAGGAAATTATAAAAAGTGCCTTAATGGGGTTGAGTTTCACTATATTCCTTCTCCAAATATTATTTCATTCTTCAACTAACAAGGGATGTTTAATTACATATTTAGAATAAGTTGAGATCAATTGACTATTTAAATGAAAACATTACTGTTTGACATTTGTGTGACTTATAACCTATAAAATGTTTTCTCTCTCTTATGATTTAAGTGGAATACAGTTATTATCCTGCTTTATTTGGTCAGTAGACACCTGGAGAAAACAGCGAAAGCCTAAAAGCTAGTCCAGTGTTCTCCCCTTTACAAAGCCTCTTCAAGAAGAGGCTATACTTTTTTATACAAACTCTATTGAGCCAAACATTATCTAACTAGTAGGAGCCAGAGAAATTAAGGGTTACTAAAACACAATTCATGATCTCAAAAAGACTGTTTCATGATAATTTTTCTACTAACTTCCTAAGACCTTAGCCAATGTTCTTCCATTTCTAAAGCAGCCTAAGACAAAGTACAGTTACCCTTGAACAATGTGGAGGTTAAGGACACTGACCCCATGTACAAAAATATAACTTTTGATACCCAAAAAAAGTACTAATGGCCTGCTGTTGACCAGAAGCCTTTCCAATAACATAAACAGTCAATTAACACATATTTCGTATGTTATGGGTATTACATACTGTATTCTTATAATAAAGTAAGATAATGTTTTTTCAAATTGTTACAAAACTCCAAAGAATTTCCTTATAAATTTCCTAAATCCATGTCTAAATGGACCCACACAGTTCAAACTCATGTTGTTCAAGGGTCAACTGTATAAGGTAACATACGCTGTTAAGTATACACTGGCAGAAATATTAACAGAAATCTGGAATTCTGGATCCAAATTTGGTACTCTTATTAGTAACCTAGTTTTCCTTCTGAAATGGGAGAGAATGGAAGGAGAAAGATAAGAAATTCTAACATCTCAAGATCGAAGGTTATTGAAGGATGACTTTCCACTCTACATAGAACAGTGAAAGCAGCCACTATCTAAAGATGAATAGGTTTAAGGTATATTGCTTTTTTTTTTCAAAAAAACAAGAATTACATGAGTTTTGATTTCTTGAATTTTTCCAGTCTCTTGTACATGGAAAGCTTTTAATAGCAAGTAAATGGAAAGAGCACAGTTTTTTTCCCTAATTACATCCATAAAATGATCCAGTTTGTATAGCTCCAAGTCCTATTAAAAAACTAAACTTCAAACTTTAACAATAATAAAAAAAGAACAATGACTCCAAATTCAAACAGGACAATCAAGATACTGAATGTAAATTTAAAAGTAAAATGTCATGCATAAAATAAAGATTACTTAAACATCATTTAGTTAAAAGTTAAATTATTCAAATGACAACCACTGAGCTCAATCTTAATTGCGTAGCATACAAAGGCCTTTTCCCAATCTAAGCAGCTGATTTATAGTAGCATTATCTTACATGGTTTTAAAATAACGGAAAAACTTCGTAATTTCAGATCTCAGAGATTTTTAAAGAAGTAAATTATTAAAAGCAATTTTCTAAATGCCAAAAGCAGACAGACAAAATATATTCTGCAAATTAGGAAAATAATATCAAAATGTTTCCCCATTAAAAAAGCAGATTTCTAGAGGCCCAGCACATTCATTCACTCCAAAAACAAAGAATTAGTAAATAATGAACAAAAGAGGATAAGATTTCTCCCCATCCATGCAGAGTACATTTCCCACCTCTTTCTCCCTGTGATCCCCACCGTGTGAATTTTGATCCAATCTGAGTCCTAGCTAAGGATATACAACAGAAAAAAATTCTACTCGTCAGAGAAATCACAAGAAATCCTTTTTATGTATAGATAGAACTATATATATAAATATATATATATGTGCGTGGATCTAACCAAAGGGGCATTTATTTTACTTTAGCAAAAATAATTCTTTATATCTACTTAATTTATATATTTTCCCCATGTAAGGCATGATGTAGTTTTTACCTGTTCTGTAAAGTATTGGAATATGATCAGTAGACAGCTTATGTTCACTTCGTACACCAATCAAAAGAGGGCTACCTCGTCTGTTAGTACAAAATTAGAATTAAACCATTTTTATAAATAATGCACGAATGATATAAATTTAAAAATGAGCCAACACTCTACAAATAATGCTTAAATTCTCCCTTCAAGCTCAACTTCATGTATACCAAAAGAACAACATAAGCAAGTAAAAATATTCAGTAACAAAGGTCAGCAAAAACTATGACCCATAGGGCAAATTTGTCTATTTTCATAAAATAGAATTTTATTGGAACACAGCCATGCCCATTCTTTTCCCTATTTTCTAGGCTGCTTTTATACTACAACAGCAAAACTGAACAGTTGCTACAGAGGCCATAGGCTCAGAAAGCTTAAAATATTTAGTATCTGGCCCATTACAGAAAAAGTTTGCCAACCTCTGTTTTATAACAATGTATTTGAAATTTTTCTCCTTTTAATGTTAAATGGAGCCGTTCTTTCAATTGTACAGAGGATTTGGTCTATGAACGTTTGGCACTTTCTCCTTTGTCACTCTGCCTTCATATTAAACATACCTCTCTCTTGTCAAATCACAGGGCTCCTCACTGTTCTAAATAGGACTTCATGATCAGGCTTAAGTACACTAGCAAAAGCAGTGATGGTACAATTATCTTGGACTCTGTCTGGAATATATACTTCCAAAAAATATGAAGAAAGTTAACATTTTAGACCTGAAATTAGAGAACATTCAATATCCAAATTTACAAAGTGACCATGGCACCATTACAGACAAAAGGCCAGTTATAAATGCCAAAATATATCTGCCTTATTAAAGGATTCTGATAAATGGAAGAGTGGTGAAACAGCCAAGGAGCAGCATATGAAAATATATTTACACGAATATTTCTAAGAAAGAGCAGAGCCTTTATACTGGAGTCATGTACAGTGTATACACAATAAACCTAAAATTCAAAGATTTCAAAACACACATAATTATTAGCCATCACTAAATGTATATGTACCTTGTGCCAACTGCTTGGCCAGGAAAATGAACACTTTTAAATACGAGTGCAAAAGCACCTTCCTACGGAGGGAAAAAAATGCATTAGCAGATTAATGATACCGAAAAAAAAATGCATTAGCAATATTTATTGTAATCAATTATCAAGCATGAAACGCCTGAAACATTGGCTTCTGCAAAGAAATTTTTTGTTCACAGAACTGCTCTTCTGCATTAGTTTATAAATTTATCTAAATTTTAGGTAGAGAGTACTGAGCTTTGGTGTATCCAAGATCCACTTTTTTTTTATTAAGGTACCACTGATAGACAATCTTATGAAGGTTTCACATGAGCAACATTGTGTTACAACATTCACCCATATTATCAAGTTCCCCCCTCACCCCATTGCAGTCACTGTCCAAGACCCACTTTTTAATCAAGCCAACTCTTGAAATATACTCAGTAGATAACAGCTTCAAAACAGTTATTTTATAAGTCACTTTTATACATGATGCCAACATTTCTCAATAGGTACATCATATACCCCATACTATGCATTAGAGTAAGGGTGTATCAGAATTAGAGAGGATCCTAAGCTCAGTATCCAAAACCCATTCTCTGGCCCAGTAATTTTACATCCCAGTTAATTTTCATTCTTTCTGACTTTGATATCAGAGATATAAATATGCACAATTACAAGTAATGTGGACACCATACCACCCCCTCAACCCAACCTCCTTAGGGATAGGGTCCAGGGATATCAAGAATGAATAAAGGAGGAACAAGAGGTAGGAGAGGATAGGAACCACCATGGAACACAAACTGGGTTATACAATGACTGGAAACAAGAAAAGGCAAAAGGCACACTATTCTGCCTTGAGAAAGCGAAGGAACAGGTCTCTACTTTCTCCATCTTCCTAACTCCTCCAAATCATAAGATCTGAGTGGAGGTAGGAGGTGAGGTCTGGGCCTTCACAGAGAAGTAAAGGGCTTTTAAATGGAAAAGCTAGGTATAAGGGGAACAGGGATTTAGAAATCACTATGCCTTTGGACTTTTGTGGATCTCTGGTTCTGTAATTAAGGCAACTGGGATGGGATCAAAAAGAATACCACTTTTCTCTTGATCTGGAAAATACTTTTCTGTAAAGGTACAAGGCCAAGGAGAAGCGCCCATGCGGAAATATAAGAGGTTAACAATATTGGCTTAGAAACATGCAGACATCCCCCCAGAATAAGTGTATATTTCACTGAAGCTACACTTGTGCTAAGTTATTGACCGGGAAGAACACTTGCATGAGGAGGAAGTAAGAAAGTGATGAACCACCAACTATGTGTACTGTGTATAGTTGACCCTTAAACAGCACAGGTTTGACCAGAGATCCACTTATAAATGGATTTTTTTCACTAAATATACCAGAAATATTTTGGAGATTTGAAACAATTTGAAAAAACTCACAAACTGTATAGCCTAGAAATATCAAAAAAATTAGGAAAAAGCCCAGATATGTCATGAATGTATAAAACAAATGTAGATACTAGTCTATTTCATTATGATGTACTACCATAAAAAGTATATAAGTATATATAAAAAATTAAAATTTATCAAAACTTAACACACAAAGACAGACTAATTATGGCATCATACACAGTAAAAAGAAATAAAAACAATACATGTAACATGTAAAACATATGTTAATCAACTATTACCAGTAAGCTTCCAGTTAACAGCAGACTATTAGTAGTTAAGTTTTTGGGGAGGCAAAAGTTATATACAGATTTTCTACTGCATTGGAGAAGTCAGGACCTGTAATGCCTGCACTGTTCAAGGGTTAACTGTACATGTTTTTGTGTATTATGTATGGGTTAGTGTGTGTGTGTATGTATAGTTTTCGGACAAACTTATTTCAGATTATTTTTAATTCCCTGACACTAAACTATAGTGGAAGTAGAATTTTAAGTGTGTGTGTGGAAAAAGAGTCAATCAATCAAAAACAGTCTCTCAAAATTACTTAAGTTGAATACTTATGTATGAGAAATAAAAGCCAAAAGTACTTAAGAAATTAACATAGTTCCTGTACATCTTAATTTTAAGAGTTTGTGATTGTTGCAAACAATTATCTTTAAAAATGTGGTTTAATACCAATTGTTGGATAACTCTCTCCACCAAGGTAGTAAAACTGGTATCTTGACTTTCCCGATTGTCATACATATACTTAACAAGCTTGGCAATTGTCTCTGTATCGGTTTCAGATTCAAAGTCATAGCCTTTGCTTTCCTGTAATTAGAAAGGAAGAAAAATTAACACACTTATGATTATATTCCTGACATCCAAATCTTTTCTAAAGAATTCTTCCTTTAAAAATTTCACTAACCAATTTCTGATCTTTTGACCACCATACTCCATTACCCATTAACCAAAATTAAAACCTCACCATCTGTGATGAGTCATAAGTTCCTGAAAACACTGCAGTCTTAAAAGTTAAATGGGTGTACTGTCACATTAATGAGAGACTTTTGGAGGCTAGAAGCTCCTTTATTTAGGACCTTGCCTTATGTATCTCTTCATCTGGCTGTTAAGTTGTATCCTTCACAGTACCATTCATTAAACTAGTAAACATTGTGTTTTCCTGAGTTCCCTGAGCCACTCTAGCAAATTAATGGAGCCTAAGGAGGAGGTTGTGGGGCATACATACATACACACACACACAGGAATCGGGCCTGGGAACCCAAAAGGAGTCATACCACTATTACTGCTGTGTACACTATTCTTCTTGTTATATATGAAAAAACATATCTTACCATCTAATTACAGTGGACCCCAAATAGTGAGGTATTCTGTATAACTGAATATACATTTAAATTATAATTATATAAATCTATATATGCCATATAATTTTAAGTAATTTAAAATATAATGGAATATATAACTCACAAAACAGTAATGAATATGAATAATTCTCTTTGACAGTGACAAAGCCATTAGGTTATATGTGGCTATTTACATTGAAATTGAAATAAAATTTCAAATTTAGTTCCTCAATCATACTAACTTAAGAGCCACGTGTGGACAGTGGCTCATATAATGTACAGCACTGATATAGAAGGTTTCCATCATTGCAGAAATTTCAGCTGGACAGTGCTGAGGAGGTACTCATGAAGGTCATCATCATGACCATTACTATATAGTATATAGCTATTTAGGGCACAGAACCTTCATTTAGTCTGTCCTATATTTCTTATATATCCTAGAATCCTTTAAAAATGACAAACAAGGACTCTCATAATACAAACGATGTTGCCCCCAAAATTCCAATTTTATTTGAGGTTTTGGGTCATTTATAATAAAGCCAAATAACTATTTCCTTTTCATGGAAGAAACAAAAATATTCCATGTCAACAAAGGAAAGTCCAATAAGCCACCATTCCCTTACAACCATCTCAGGAATTACTTGATCAGACCTAGAAATGCTGCACATCCCAACAAACATCACTGCTCTCATCAGAAGTATTCCCAAAGCCTGGTGTCTTTTTAGCTCACTTTACTTACCAAAAACTTTTTCAAGTCTTTGTAGTTGGTTATGATTCCATTGTGAATAACAATAAATTCTAAAAGAGATAAATAAAAGTATTGATGATAAAAAACTGGGGTCTGCTGAACACCATAAATAACCACTACTATTAACAGAGTTTTCTCAAGTCAAAGAATTTGTCATATGCTATAATTCCAAGTGTAATAAAGTATCTTCTACTTCCCATTATCACATTATCCTCACTCAGGTAGATTGGCAGCACTGTTTATGTGGTTCAGTGGAAGCACACAATGCTAGCAGGTGGATATAGAGGGGAAATAGAATAAACTGAGGTCTACAGACATCAATTTCATATGTGGCTAAACTACTAGTATCCAGTGTAACCAATGAAAGGAGCACATTTCTTGGGCCTGCGTCCTCATTTGCAAAACAAGAGGGCTGAATTACTATAACTATTATTCTCACTTCTTTGTTCATTCATTCTTATGCATAAAACATTACTAAGTATAAAGAGACTTTCAAACTAAAACAATAATCTCATTTACATTAAATGAGTTTAAGAACTAAAGCTAAAGAAGTTTAATAAGAAAAGCCAGTTATTCAGTTCTATAGTTAAATTTACTTATCCAAGGTCTAGACAATTCCCAGCATATCAGATAAATAAATGTTAAAATAGCAATCCAAGATCAAATACATATGTAGTGGAACAATTTTCATCTTTTCGATTAAATAACTTTGAAAATATAAGAATGGATAATCAAAAGTTTACATTATTATTTACAAACACTGAAGGTGCACGTAAAGACTACCAACATGGATTTATTATTTAAAATTTTTATAAGTCATAAGAGAAATTACCATTAAGTCCAATTTTACATTAAATAATCAAAATGTTTTTAACATACTTAAAGATCTGACATTTTGGAGCTTGAATTCAATGCATTACAAACCAAATAATAAATATTTTCAATATATTTTTAAGTCAGAGAAGACACTACAAAGTAATATGACAAAAATAAATCTAAGAAAAATATTTTAATGCTAGAACACAGAGACTGATAAATAGCTGATTGCTGATATAAAGCCTTAAAGTGAAACTCTCAAAACATAATCTAGATATGTTTGCAGGAATCATTTATAAAGGCCTTGTCAGTATTAAAAGTTTGAGTGGTTGCTAGCCTTCAAATCCAATTCAATAATTATGTGAAACACAAGAAAACTAAAAAGGTAGCTGCTGAATTATAAAATCTTTTCTGAAAAGATATATACACACATACACACACACATATACATATGTATTTGCTTATTTGTAAAAATGGAAGACTAGACTAAAAAAATTTGTTAAATGTTTATCTACAGGGAGAGATGGAATAAGGACAAAAGAGGATAGAAATTAGACGTAATTTATTTTACTTTATCTTTATTGAAAAGTTCACCTACTCTTTGCTATGCTGAAGTGTCACATTTATAATGATTCAGGTGATCATTATCTATGAGCCCATTTCTAGATTCTATTCTGTTCCACTGATTAATGTGACTGGCTTTGCCCCAAATCACACTATTTTAATTACTGAAATTTTATAATTGGGAAATGAACTTCATTTACTATGCTTTGTTTTATAGGTGTGACATCAGAACTATGCAAATATTTTTAAATAAAATTAATTTTTAAAGAAAATCAATCCCTAAAAAACAAAATAATTCATACTAACATGACACTATATCAAGTTGGTACATAGAGAAGGATTACCCCAAGTGACTCTAAGACAGTCATTTGATTACACATCCCGAGATACACTTTGAGGATCAAAAAATTAGTAAAAACTAGCAAACATGCTGTTACAGCAATGTTGGTATTATGATTCTGTTAGATGCGTATCATATGATAAATCAAGTAGGTGTGTTGCTGGGGTTAAGAACTGAGATTTTAAGTGTGATTGAAAGGAAATACAAAGGTCAATGATTAAAAACCTTATAGCCCTGGATTTGAACTGTGTCATGTTACATATGTCATGTTTTATCTTTAAATTTATGTATGCATATATACATGCACACACAAGCGGTACATGTACATACATTTACTTTATAGCTCTGTCCACCTAAATAGCCTAGTCTACTAAATGACCACTTCTAAGGACCTGGTTTATAGTTTTTAAATATCATTTCCACTAAAAGGAACCAGGGCTCCTTAAAGTAATGGCTAATTCTAGTCTAGGGTCAGAATTAGGTGAACCTAGAGTATCTTGGCCTACCAGAAAAGAACAAAGACTACTGACAGCGACTACTGGGGTCACATCAAAAGGACTCAGGAGCCAGCCTGAATAAGCTCCAATGGCCAAAGATGGGAAGATTTTTACTCCAATATAGATAATTCTTCCATGTTTTGGAAAAAAAAAAAAAGTAGTGTTTTTAAATCTGTGAATTTTATAAAGAAACTTCTTTATCTTAGAGAATGTTAGAACCAATTAATTACTGGAAAATGGTAGATAAAGGGGGAAAAAATTAATCATTTATCCTGCCTTTCCTATATAATCTGTTCCACAGGGTAACTAAGCAGCTGATACGGAGGAGACTGTTTATGGTATTTAAGACAGTAAGTGAGGAAGGAATGATAGTATTAGACTCTCACCATTTTACAATCCCTAAATAAATACTCTATGGCTACTAACAATACAAAAAGAAAAACCTCCAAACATTATATACCTCCAGATGTAAATAAACACCATACCAATTTATAACAGAAGGATGATTGAGAAACATGTTAAATGACACCGTAAGATGCATTCAATTAGCAAGAACTAGACTGTAGGAAGTTCTCTAAGACACGGTAAACAGAAGAAAAAGCATCCAAATAATCGGGTGGGAGAGTAATGGATAAGTGTAACTGATCATGTACTGATAAATGTTAAGGCTGGGTAATGGATGCATCAGGTTTTATATGCTTTCTACTTCTGAATGTTTGAAATTTGCCAGATTAAAAAAAAATTAAAGTGACAAAAACACAAGAACCTTACTCTTCTCCCACTATCAACCGATCCACAATCATTCCAAGGCACACAGAATCTGACCATACCATTATTTTTATCAGAGCGCTGTGGATGGCTATTGACAGGATTGGGTTCTCCATGTGTTGCCCACCGAGTATGAGCTATTCCAAGGTGTACATCAAATTCTATATCTAAATCCATATCTTGCTGTTCTAAAGGAGACAAAATGAAAAATTTCAATATTAAATCATGCTGTACAAGTAATGTTATAAAGCTGTATTTAAATATAATTATTACAGTGCTGCTCACTTGGAATATACAATTATTTAAACTGTAAATAACTGTATAGGCATATTCAAGATAGTAATTAAAAGACTTAAGAGTTAATGAAGATCAAGCATATTCAAAACAGTAATTAAGACTTAGGAGTTAATGTAGCTGAAATATTTACAGCAAATGCTTCCAATAACAACCAAAAAAATATATACAGAGAGAGAAAGCAAATGTGACAAAATGCTAACAATAGTAAAACTAGATAAAGTATATGGGTGATTAATGCACTATTCTTTCAGCTTTTCTGGAGACTTGAAATTTTTCAAACTCAAAAGTTAAAGACAAAGAGTTAATGTGATTTTTTAAAATCTGTATTTAATCCTTGCCTTGAAAAGAACCAGTGTCATTTTAATTAGACATGCAAAAATAAATTCATTTTCTCAATCCCACACAACCTTATGACTACAATTGCTTTGGCCACCAGTGAATGTAAACATGTCTCACAATATAAACTGCAATTATGAAGAGCTTCCAAAATCAAAGAATAGTCCTTGAGAACAGAGCAACACTATGAAAGTATCGGGTCATAGGCTGATACTCCTTTACCTTGAAAACCAGCTATTCTAATTTCTTTTCCCTGTAAGCTCATTTCTTCTTGCTTGTTTCAGTAAAAAAAATAATAAGAAAGAGTTGTAGTATTTACTAGTAATGACCCCCTTCTTCTAATTTCCTAAATATAAAATTCATTTGTCTAAGAATTATTAGGTCTGAATTAAGAGAAAACTGCTCAGGTATCTGCGTAGGAAAGCCCATGCATTTTCACACAGTCTTTGTGGTTTCTACATTGGCTAATCAGGTCATTCTAAAACTCAAATCTGATCAGGAAACAATGATTAAAATACTTGAATAGATTTCCATTGCTTTGAAAGTGGTTTGCATCCCTAGCTACCCAGGAATCATCCTAAACCTGGTCACAGGGATTAAGGAAAAAAAATCCTTAAGGTATTATGCTCAGTGAAAGACAGAGAAAGGTATTATGCTCAGGCAGAGAAAGACAAATACCATTTGATTTCACTTATTTGTGGAATATAGTGGAATATAAAAACAAATCAAAACGGAATGAACAAAACAACAGTAGATGCATACACTGAGAAGTGACTAGTGGTTACCAAGGGGGAGAGGTTGTGGGGACAAAGGAGCACAATAATTCACAATCACAATATAAATTGGTCACACGCTCGACAGAACAGCATGCAGAATATAGTCAATAATTCTGTAACATCTTTCAATGGTGATAGCAACTGCACTAGAGGGGGTGAGGATTTGATAATGCAGCTAACTGTTCAACCACAGTGTTGTACATTTAAAACCAATATAAGATTGAATATCAACAATACTTCAATGAAAAAAATTTCCAGAAGGATACACAAGAAATTCATAGTATGGATCACTCTTAGAAAGAGTTACTAAGCGGGGTAGGAAAGACACTTTCACTGCTCTTTCATTTTTTATTAAGGTATCATTCATATACAATCCATGAGCAACATTGTGGTTACTAGATTCCCCCACTATCAAGTCCCCACCAAATACCCCATTACAGTCACTGTCCATCAGCATAGTAAGATGCTATAGAATCACTACTTGTCTTCTCTGTGTATATTGCCTTCCCCTTGCCCCCCTCTACATTATATATGCTAATCGTAATATCCCTTGTTCCCCTTCTCCCTCCCTTCACACCCATCATCCCCAATCCCTTTCCCTTTGGCAACTGTTAGTGCATTTTTGGGTTCACTGAGTCTGCAGCTGTTTTGTTCCTTCAGTTTTTGCTTTGTTGTTATACTCCAGATGAGTGAAATCATTTGATACCTGTCTTTGTCTGACTGGCTTATTTCACTGAGCATAATACCCTTCAGCTCCATCCATGTTGTTGCAAAAGGTAGGATTTTCTTCTTATGGCTGAATACTATTCCATTGTGTATATGTAGCACCTCTTCTTTATCCATCCATCTACTGATGGACACTAACGTTACTTCCATTTCTTGGCTATTATAAATAATGCTGCGATCAACATAGGGGTGCATATGTCTTTTTGAATCTGGGATTCTACATTCTTAGAATAAATTCCTAAAAGTGAATTCCTGGGTCAAATGGTATTTCTGTTTTGAGTTTTTTGAGGAACCTCCATACTGCTTTCCACAATGGTTGAACTAATTTACATTCCCACCAGCATTCCCAGCATTTGTTGTTGCTTGTCTTTTGGATTTTGGATGTTGGCTATCCTAACTGCATAGGAAGTTGTGATGGTTTTAATTTGCGATTCCCTGATGATTAGCAAAGTGGAGCATCTTTTCACGTGCCTGTTGGCCATCTGATTATCTTCTTTGGAGAATGTATGCTCAGACCCTCTGCCCATTTTTATTTATTTATTTATTTATTTATTTAGTGATCATTAATCTACAATTACATGAAGAACATTATGTTTACAAGGGTCCCACATTCACCCAGTCCCCCCCACAAACCCCAATACAGTCACTCTCCATCAGCGTAGTGAGATGCTGTAGACTCACTACTTGTCTTCTCTGTGTTGCACAGCCCTCCCCATGACCCCACCACATTATACATGCTAATCGTAATACCCCCTTTCTTTTTCCCCACCCTTGACCCTCCCTTCCCTCCCATCCTCCCCAGTCCCTTTCCTTTTGGTAACTGTTAGTCCATTCTTAGGTTCGGTGATTCTGCTGCTGTTCTGTTCCTTCAGTTTTTCTTTGTTCTAATACTCCACATACGAGTGAAATCATTTGGTATTTGTCTTTCTCCACCTGACTTATTTCACTGAGCATAATACCCTCTAGCTCCATCCATTGTGTTGCAAATGGTAGGATTTGTTTTCTTCTTATGGCTGAATAATATTCCATTGTGTATATGTACCACATCTTCTTTATCCATTCATCTACTGACGGACACTTAGGTTGTTTCCATTTCTTGGCTATTGTAAATAGTGCTGTGATAAACATAGGGGTGCATCTCTCTTTTTCAAACTGGGCTGCTGTATTCTTAGGGTAAATTCCTAAAAGTGGAATTCCTGGGTCAAATGGTATTTCTATTTTGAGCTTTTTGAGGAACCTCCATACTGCTTTCCACAATGGCTGAACTAATTTACATTCCCACAAGCAGTGTAGGACGGTTCCCTTTTCTCCACAATCTCACCAACATTTCTGTTGTTTGTCTTTTGGATGGTGGCAATCCTTACTTGTGTGAGGTGATATCTCATTGTGGTTTTAATTTGCATTTCTGTGATAACTAGCAATGCGGAGCATCTTTTCATGTGTCTGTTGGCCATCTGAATTTCTTCTTTGGAGAACTGTCTGTTCAGCTCCTCTGCCCATTTTTTAATTGAATTATTTGCTTTTTGTTTGCTGAGGTGCATGAGTTCTTTATATATTTTGGATGTCAAGCCTTTATCAGATCTGTCATTTATGAATATATTCTCCCATAGAGTAGGGTACCTTTTTGTTTTATTGATGGTGTCCTTTGCTGTACAGAAGCTTTTCACCTTAATGTAGTCCCACTTGTTCATTTTTGCTTTTGTTTCCCTTGCCCAGGGAGATATGTTCATGAAGAAGTCGCTCATGTTTATGTCCAAGAGATTTTTGCCTATGTTTTTTCCTAAGAGTTTTATGGTTTCATGACTTACTTTCAGGTCTTTGATCCATTTCGAATTTACTTTTGTGTATGGGGTTAGACGGTGATCCAGTTTCATTCTCTTACATGTAGCTGTCCAGTTTTGCCAACACCAGCTGTTGAACAGACTGTCATTTCCCCATTGTATGGCTTTGGGTTTGAGGTGAGTCTCTTGTAAGCAGCATATAGTTGGATCTTGCTTTTTTATCCATTCTATTACTCTGTGTCTTTTGATTGGTGCATTCAGTCCATTTACATTTAGGGTGATTATTGAAAGATATGTAGTGATTGCCATTGCAGGCTTTAGACACATGGTTACCAAAGGTTCAAGGTTAGCTTCTTTAGTACCTTACTGCCTAACTTAGCTCACTTATAGAGCTATTATAAACACTGTCTGGTGATTCTTTATTTCTCTCCCTTCTTATTCCTCCTCCTCCATTCTTATTTGTTGGTTGTTTTATTCTGTGCTCTTTTGTATTTCCTTTAACTGCTTTTGTGGGTAGTTGATTTTATTTTTTGCCTTTGGTTAGCATTTGGTTGGTCTGCTTTCTTTGCTCTGATTTTATTTTCTCTGGTGACATCTTATTTAGTCTTAGGAGTGCTGCTCCCATCTAGAGCATTCCCTCTAATATACCCTGTAGAGGTGGTTTGTAGGAGACAAATTCCCTCAACTTTTGCTTGTCTGGGAATTGTTCAATCCCTCCTTCATATTTAAATGATAATTGTGCTGTATACAGTATTCTTGGTTCAAGGCCCTTCTGTTTCATTGCATTAAATATATCATGACATTCTCTTCTGGCCTGTAAGGTTTCTGTTGAGAAGTCTGATAGTAGCCTGACGGGTTTTCCTTTGTAGGTGACCTTTTTCCTCTCTCTAGCTGCCTTTAAAACTCTGTCCTTGTCCTTGATCTTTGCCATTTTAATTATTAGGTGTCTTGGTGTTGTCCTCCTTGGGTCCCTTCTGTTGCGAGTTCTGTGTACTTCTGTGGTCTGATCAATTATTTCATCCCCCAGTTTGGGGAAGTTTTCAGCAATTATTTCTTCTAATACACTTTCTATCCCTTTTTCTCTCTCTTCTTCTTCTGGTACCCCTATAATGCAGATATTGTTCCTTTTGGATTGGTCACACAACAGTTCTCTGAATATTGTTTCATTCCTGGAGATCCTTTTATCTCTCTCTGCGTCAGCTTCTATGTGTTCCCATTCTCTGGTTTCTATTCCATCAATGGCCTCTTGCATCTTATCCATTCTGCTTATAA